AGAAGGCATCATCAGTTTGATGACACATTCCAGCAGGGCAAAAGCACCTGAGCTTGGAGCAAGTCCAGGGAGAGTCCCAGGGGCCAGGCAGAAGGGAACGGGGGCCACATTTGCCCCCCCACCCTGAGATTCCCTACCCTTACAATAGTGATGCCCACTGCTTCCTTCTTAAATGTTATTGCATTTGAGATAATTTGAAAAGGGGACAGTGGGCTGCTGTCATCAACATCTTTGATCCCTTTAGAAAAAGGAATGTCTCAATAAGACAAATATGTGAATCATCCAGGTATACTCATCAGCGAGGCAGGGCTGGTTGTGGTTCTCGGCTGGGTGGGCTTGCCAGTGCGTAGGGTGAAAAATTGCCCTCAGGAGTATGGGAATGTTCAGGGAGGCAGGAGAGGATATATTGTTTAATTATATCCTTCCCAACTTGTGTTAACAAGTTCTATAATTTAGCAGAGTAACATTCCCCTTTTTAAACTTGTACAGCAGATACGTCTCTTCCAGGCTTGTATAAGCCTCTAAAATACGTTTCTTGGCAAATTCCCCTTTAATCCCTCATAAAAAGATTAGACACAACAGTCCTGTATAAAAATATAAAAGAGTTTACTCACGCACATTCTGTTCACAGATGGATCCCAGAAGGCAGACTTAGGTTACAAAATATATACACCTGGAATCTATCCCATAAGGAGATAGTTCCTTTGTCCTCTCTTGGCTAGAAGCCAAGAGAGCATCTCAGGCTGATAAGATGTTGCTTCTTCAACGAATGGAGTCAGAGAGAGATGTGGCTGCCTCCCCTGTGCTGTTTTGTTACCTGCCACGCCCACCTCTGTTCACATGTAGAGGAAGTCTGTCCCAGCCCAGGAGGAAACAGGAAGTTCCGACTGGCTGGTTCACTCTAGGAATGTTGTATTTGACTGCTCTGTGTTTCACATTTCGCAAGGAGTTACTAGGAATCGGCATTCTTTAAGTTACCCAAAACAGCTCACCAAGGCTTTATTGAAGGATACAATGCAACAATGCAGCTTCAGAGGGCAGGGCAATTTTTCACCAGGACCACAGCAGGAGAGGAAAGGGTTAAATTCCCTGCTCTGCATTTGTTGCAATCCAGGCCAGTCGCCTCCCCTACCAATCAGCTGCTACTTGCATGTTAAGAATACAAGAGGAGCCCTGTGGAATCAGACCAAAAGCAAATCTAGTCCAGCATCCTCTTTCCTAGAGTTTCCAACCAGGCTCCTGTGGGAAGACCACAAAACAGGGCAGGAGAACAATAGCTCCCTGCAAGATATAAATGATGAATGCAGATGTGCACCAAGTTTGGCTCTTAGATTCCAGTGCCCCATATACTTCCAAGCATATTTTTGTGTTCATAAGGGCTAGAACATGGAAGATAAGGTTCTCAGGAAGCTGAATGCTGCAACCTGTGGCTTTCCTGCCCTTTTGTGGTGGCGTTCTGCACAAACCGCTCGATATGTACGTTGCACAAATTGCAGCCCAAAGCAGGGAGTGCACACAGAATCACAAGCTTGTATCTGAGTCTGGAATAGCTTTCTTGCAGTGAAACTGGGGTGTGTGTCTGCTTTCCCTTTGCCAGAATGGCTACTGCCACTACAACCAATCTGAGCTGATTGCAACTCTCTCTGGCTATGTCCGTGTGGCCTCTGAAAACACCACTGCCCTGAAGGCTGCTCTTTACAAGCATGGCCCTGTGGCAGTGAACATTGACGCCTCCCACAAGTCCTTTGCCTTCTACTCCAGCGGCATCTACTATGAGCCAAACTGCGGTGAGTCTAATGTCACTCCTTAGTTCAAAGCCTTTATGGTGGGGTGTGAATTTTATGGATGTGTCAACTTTATAGGAAGGGATGCGGGTGGCGCTGTGGGTTAAACCACAGAGCCTAGGACTTGCTGATCAGAAGGTCGGCAGTTCGAATCCCCGTGACAGGGTGAGCTCCCATTGCTCAGTCCCTACTCCTGCCAACCTAGCAGTTCGACAGCACATCAAAGTGCAAGTAGATAAATGGGTACCGCTCCGGTGGGAAGGTAAACGGAGTTTCCATGCGCTGCTCTGGTTCGCCAGAAGCGGCTTAGTCATGCTGGCCACATGACCCAGAAGCTGTATGCCGGCTCCCTCGGCCAATAAAGCGAGATGAGCGCCGCAACCCCAGAGTCGGTCACGACTGGACCTAATGGTCCCTTTAGCTTTTACAACTTTATAGGCAGGTGTCACAATGGAAATTCTCTTGCACCACCAGTCACCATTTAAGGCATGGATGGGGAGCCCTCCAGGTGTCATTGGACTCCAGCTCCTGCCAGCATGGTCAATGGTGGGGGATGAAGAGGGTTGTAGTCCAACAACATCTGCAGAGCCATAGGGTCATACCTGCTATGGTGCTTAGAGCTGTCAAGTCAGGAGCATCCCAGACCCTGAGACTTCAGAACCCAATTCTGAGATCAGGAGTGGGTCCTGGTGATGTCATGGAGATGGGACTTGGTGATGTCACAGGGCGGGCCCTGGTGATTCTTCCTCTGCACTCCTTACCACTAAGCCCTGGAGATGGAGGTTAATTGGGACAGGGGAGGAGGGAGCTGTGGATGGCAGACTCCTAGAGAGTCCATGCAGTCATTTGCAGCTGACTTCTGCCAGGCTGAAGCTTACAAGCTGCACACATAGTCTTCTTAATAAAAAATATTTTTTAAAGGCACTCTTGCCTACCTAAAGAGTCAAGCCCTCTCTCCAGTACCTGGAGTGGGGCAGGCAAACATGGAGACTTCCGGTCAGCTCTGGAGGTCTGTCTGCATAAAATCAACAATAAAATGATCTCCTTAAAAACAAGTACAAAATGCATCACAAATCAATCATTAGATCAGCTTAGTGCATTGACATAGCTGGATCACCCATCAGGGAAAGTCTGGGTGAACAGATGAGTTTTAAGCAGGTGCTTAAATGCCAATACTGTAGGTAGTTGCTTGCCTGATGTCCACTAGAAGTGCATTCCAGAGGACAGATTTTACCACACTAAAAGCCCTGGAAGAGGGAGGGAAGGATCTGTCAGTCTTGGTTCTCTCAGTTCTGCATTTTTTTCCCAATCTTAAATTTAGTTGACCACTTTTTGCATCAATACGAGATTTTTTTTTTTTAATCCTTATGAAAATTCATTGTTATTAATATTATTCTTCTTATATATTTATACTCAACATTTTATCCTGGCTCAGTTGGCATTTTTGTGCACATTTATCCTAATAAAAACAGTTTTATATGCAGTTTTGACTAATGCACACATTTCTGCACAAAACCTTCCCTAATACATGCATTTTTTAAAAAAAAAAAACAACCACTGGTTGGTTGGAGAACTGCATTTCAAATTTCATTTTCAAATCACATAATGTTTCAGAAATTTGATAGGTTTGGTTTTAAATGCATACTTACTCTGTTTTCTCCTCCACCCCGGTCTTAGTGTACACAAGGAAAGCTTGGGGAGCTGTGGCACTAGGTGGTGAATTGATTCCTGGTCCTCTTTTCTTCTAGGAAACAAGAGCATGGAGTTAGACCATGCAGTCCTAGCTGTGGGATATGGGGACCTCGAAGGGGAGAGCTACTGGCTCATCAAGAACTCTTGGTCCACATATTGGGGCAATGATGGCTACATCCTCATGTCGATGAAGGACAACAACTGTGGGGTGGCAACAGCTCCCACCTACCCAGTCCTGGCCTAAGGGGGAAACACTGGCAAGAAGGATCACGCCAGTCAACGTACAACAGCCCTTATCTGAAGCGACCTCTTCTGAACCACATGTTGTCGAAACACCTAATCTAGAAATTGGGAACCTGGGTTTGGGTGGTGATCATGCCACAACACATTCCTCCAAGTCAAAGTCCTGAACTGGAAGACATTTGTTCACCCACACAGTTCCGCATCTCTATGGCTGCGTACACACCATACATTTAAAGCGCATTTAAAGCGCATTCCACCTCTACTAAATCCTGGGAACTGTGATTTTCCCCTCACAGAGCTATAGTTCCCTTCACTCTTAACGAACTACAACTCCAAGGGTTCTTGAGCAGGGAGGTGGAAAGAAATGTGCTTCAAATGTGTATGCAGCCATAATTTAAGACTTCAGTCTGGTTCCTGTATTTTTTTAAACATCTCTCTCCATATTTACTGATTAGTGTAACCCACAATGTTCAATACTACACCAAACCATATTGCTGTAACAGTCTTTTGACATACTTCCTTTCTCCCCCCAATCACTGAGCGGCAAGGATATTTGGCGGGGGGGGGGTATATTTGACCATATATAACTCGGCATGTGAATAAATTGTGCGCAGCAGACAAGCATTCATGGCTGGGCTGGAATTATTTACTCTCCTGATGCCTCCTAAGATATTAACAGAGTGCATATAAAAATACACAACTTGTTTAGTGAAATTGAAACATCACAGATGTTTCCTATTGTTCAAACATACACATTTCTCTACAGGACTACACTCAGGAGAAGCTGCTCCTGTCTGCCTATTACAAAAGCCAGCTCTGCATAGTACTGATTGGCTAGAACCAGAGAAGTCAAGAATTCATCTCTTTCCCACACACCCCAGCTGCCTTCCTGACGGTTGTGATACTTCATTTCAAAAACTTGGTTTATTAGGTATATGTGTTTCTTCTTAAGATCTATCTAACTTAATTTATACATGGCATTTTGAAATGAAAAATAGCCTTTTGAGACAGCCCATATAGAGCTCCAGATGCAGTTCTTGGGAAATTCCCTAGAGGAAATTCTGAAATACCCTTTTGGTTTATCAAAAAAGCATGACTTTGGCAGAGAGAAAGCAGAAAACAGACATTTCCTGTGGGAATTATGCTGATAACGAGAGTATTTCACAAGTAAGTGTTTTTAAAGCTATAAGGGTTTCCTTGGAGGGTCCTCAAGTGGTGCAAACTTGCCAACTTACACTTAGTTTTTCCATTGTGATAGGCAGACCCAGGAACACTGATTGATTACACAACTGGGAGGACTTTGGTATTTCTCCGCCTTGTTCCGCCTGCTTGCGCAATGGAAAGCATTTAAGGGGAAAAGTCCTAGCCTTAAAAAGTGGCTGGATGAGCACCGGAGGCAGCTGCCAAAGGACAAGATGGCAACCTGGATGAGCCTTTTCTTAACTCAGTTGACCTTCATTGCTGCATCTATAAAGGGCGGCTTGGCAGAGGACCCAGAAACTAGCTGCTGTGCACGTGAGTGTGACTTGGGAGGGGGCAAGAGGTGTTTGTAGAAATGGCCAATGCTCAGCTCTAGCCCTCATCGGGCTCTTCTGTGATGACAGAAGCTGCCTTAAACCAAGACAGACCATCTAGCTCAGTCTTGTTTTCAAAGATGCTCTATGGGGGTTCAGGCAGGGAGTCTCTCCTAGTCCCACCTGGAGATGCTGGAGACCGAACCTGGGACCTTTTGCATGCAAAGCAGGTGCTGTCCCACTGAGCTACATTCTTTCCTTAGCTGATTTATCTGAGGACTGGCAACGGGGTGATTTCCATCCCCATCAAGCTCTCTGTATAGACAGCACTGTGTTTTGTGTGTGTGCGCGCGCACACGTGCATGCACACGGCACTGCCAAAATGAGTGAGAGTGCAAAGAAACTTTGCTTGGTGGTGGATGGATCAGATTCTTGAGCTGGGGGGGTTAGCTACCCATTTACCTCTCCAGAGTGAATAGCCAGCAACCAGTCTTGCTAACATGGTTCAGAATCCTTGTCTCCAGAGCATCTTTAATTCCATTGTTTTGCATGGGCACAGCCCTGATGCTAGAATACTGCAGGCTGAGGTCTGGCACATCCTTAATTGCCCTGGGTGGGGCTAGTTAAGATGCGCTGGCTCTGCCCAGTGATTCACCAGGATCTACCCACTGGGCATATCTAGAAGTGTCCCTATTTTCATCTGTCACAAACTGAAGTGTATGATCTCGACAAGGCTTGTTTGACATGTCAGAGTCCATTCGCGGTGACTTCGCCGAAATTAAAAATAGCAGTGCCTGTCAATTGCCCTGTAGCTGAGGCAGTAGTGTTGTGGTCAGCTGATAAGCTTTTGGGATGGAATTGATGAGCCCTCATAAATAAAAATTATATTATTACCTGTACTTCACCCTGAGATCCTAGGTTGGGTTGCTACAATTTAAAACACAGCATAGAATCAGAGAATTGTAGGGGTGGAATTCCAAAACCCAGGATGCACAAACAGATAATTCCAGGATATTGTGTCTGAAAGATACCAACACAGTAAACACAGTGTTTTTTAAAAAAGGAAGTTACCAAAAAAATACAATCATTAAAAGAGGTTGGGTCCTGAAAATATGCTTCTCCCATGTGAAAGTTGCCTCTCTAGCATTCCCCCAAAGCTGTGTAGTGAATACAACTCTGTGGGGAGAGAGTTCTACAACTTGGGGACTGCGACATAGTGCCTTCTCCTGGGCAGCCACTCCTCAGCTTTTGAGGGCGGCGGAACAAGCAAGAGGGGACCCTCTGCTGATCTTAAACACCCAGGGAGGTCTGTAGTGAAGAAGGCGGTCTTTTAGGTATTTGTGGCCTGATTCGTTTAGGGCTTTAAACGCTAACACCTTGTATTGGTCCTGTAAAACAAAAGCATCTAGCCCGAAACTGAATTTCAGTGCATAGGTACAGCCAGGGACACCTGCACCTGAATAACAAAGAGATGCTGTATTAGGCAACACCCCCTCACCAGTCCTGCCTTGCACTTTCCTTGAGAGCTTTGGCCTGGCTGAAAAGTGTACTTCAAGATAAGTACCCATTGGCCTGGATCAAGAGGGATCTGTGAGCATGTGTACAACGTAGCTACCCTACAAAGGTACAATTCGCATTCATTGCTCTGCCCACCCCTGAAATGTGCTCCCTAGCAGGTTAACATGAAGGGAAAGTGGCTCTCAAGTTGTGCTGGAGTGTAGGGGCAGCTCTGACCTTGAATGGCTCCTGATCTTGAATGTACAGCATCCTGCTGGGAAACAGAAAACTTTGCCTTGTGACCGTCAAGTTCTCGGAAAGCTGTGTCCCTAGAATCCTGTTTGAATCACGGCATCATTTTTGTTTTCCAGAGCTAAAAGGGCTGTCTGAGTGTGGGCCAGACAAGAAATTCTTTTTCCAAGGCCAGCCTGGGACTCCCGGGATCCCTGGCATACCAGGAACAATTGGATCACCTGGAGCTAAGGGAGATCCTGGCCCTCTGGGGCCCCCTGGTAAGAGGACCCCATCAATATCCAGGTGGAGAAGGCCACTCCCCCTTGCATTTCCCAATTGCTGTTGTTTGCATTTCTATCCCACCTCTTTCTCCAAGGTGCTAAAGGTGGCATCCCTGTTTCTCCCCCACCTCATTTAATTCCCACATTAACCTTGTGAAATAAATTAGGCTGAGAGGCACTGAATGCCCCCAAGGTCACCCAGTGGGCATGGTGAAATGGGGATTTGAACTCTGGTCGCCCGGGTTCTAGATTGGCACTCCAACCACTAAACCTCACAGATGTAGAACCAGCTGGACTCTTCTGTTGTTTATGCTTAGCACAGTCAGCATCAAAAGTAGCACCCCTCAAAAGATGGGGCACACCAGTTAGACTACCCCTTCTTCTGTAAAAATAATTTCCCCTTTCCAGAATTTCTTGCTTCAAAATGAGCTCAGAAGGGCTCATTTACCCTCCTCTGTCCGATCTCAGTGTGGGGTTGTTGGGTGGCCATTGCTGTGCCCTCCTGATCTTGTTTGACTCCCAACTCCGACATGTGGGGAGATAATGCATCTCTGCTGGGAGGGGATTCCAACAGTTAGGGAGCCGTGACTGAGAAGGCCCTGCTATGAGTCACTGTGACACGAGCCACAGTTAAAGATGGAACCAGTCCTTTTTTTTCTGGGGGTACGCATACCCCTAAACATTTTGTGAATCTAAGTTTGGCCTCATTGAGGGGCAGTATTCCAATAGGAGTAGGAAAATGAGAGTACCCCTAAACATTTTTTTTTAGAAAACAGCACTGGGTGGAACTATTGGCAGGGCAGATCTCAAAACTAGGACTGGTATATTCCTGGGAGAGGCGCTACTTCAAGTATGCTGGCCCCAAATTAATCTAGGGCTTTTTCATTCCTGGTGGTCTTTATACGAGCTACTATTTAAGAACTGATGCCTGAGTTTGCTTTCCACCCCCCTCTTCCTTCCTCCTCCTGTTTTCCTTTTGTGTCGCCTCTTTTGGGGTGTGAGCTGAGCCTGTGAGCAGAGACTGCCTTGTTTTAGCTGATTGTGCGAAAGCTGCTCTGGGAGACTTTTCAACTGAAGAGCGGGTTAAAAATGCTCCACTTAAATACATACAGAAAACCCTTCTCTTTCATTCAGGTGAGAAGGGCTCCCCTGGAGATCATGGAAAAGCTGGACCCAAAGGAGAGAAAGGTACAAGAGGCATTTCTTCTAACTCTGTGGACCAAACTAGATAGGATGTTAAGCGTATGATTGGCCCTGGTTTGTTTTTGCTTTACAAACTTGGTGGTGGTTGTGTGTGTGCGCACCCTTGATTAGGACTGCAGCACAAGGTGGAGAGGGGTTTAACCCTTCACCATAACCATGGTTCTAGTCTGCATTGCAGGGGTCCTGGACTTGCTGTTTTTTTCTTTGGTATACATGGGAATCCACTCCCCATGCAGACAGCAACAACAGGGAGAAAGATCCAGATCAGGACTGTCAAGGGGTTCAAGAACCTTGACAGAACCTGAGAAGAGCCTGTCGGGTCAGGCCAATGGCCCATCTAGTCCAGCACCCTGTTCTCTCAGTGGCCACCAAGGTGCTTGTGGGAAACCCAGTGGTTTCTGGGAACTGCCATTCAAAAGCATCACTGCTTCTAAAGTGATGGACTGGCTAAGTTATCATCAGCTCAATGCTAGGTTTAAGATAGATAAAAAAAGACGGTTTGCAGACCAGAGATCACAATTCAAAAGGGATTTATTCGGTTCCAAGGTTAAAATTCTTTCTAAAATGTACAAATTATTACTTGAACGGAAGACAAAGGAGGAGTTGGTCAAGTCATCTATGATTAGTTGGGCTAAGGATGTGGGACACAATATTGATTTAAACTTATGGCAACGTCTATGGACAAACAACTTGAAATTTCCGTCATGCTATACTTTAAAGGAAAACAATCTAAAGATGGTTCACAGGTGGTCCAAATAGGTTGGCAAAGATGTTTAAATCACAGTGATAAATGCTGGAAGTGTAAAAAAACACACACAAAAACAGTAGGAACAAGTTGCCACATGTGGTGGTCTTACAGTGTGATTAAAGAATACTGGGAAACAATTTATAACAAGTTCAAAAAAATGTTTACAAGATCCTTCCCTTCCTCCTGGGCATAACAACATCTGAAGCCCCAAAGAATCAAATGAGTCTGTTGCCATGTGCTACCACCGCTGCTCAGATTTTACTGGCACAAAAGTGGAAAACGGACACAGCGCCAAGAAAAGATGAGTGGCATCACAAATTGTTGGAGTTGGCGGCTGTTCTACAAATAGAATAAGAAATAGAGATAACAAAAAACTTAAGAAGAATGGAAGTTAAATATAGAATATATGAAAAATCATTATAACAAGATAGTTAACCTAGCAGGGTGTGAGTAGTTATAGCAGCGTAAGTTATAACAAGAGGTAAAGAGAAGAAGAATGAAATATTTAGATAAACAAGAAGCCGAGATGGGGAAAGGATTAGAATTTGGCCAAACTTCTTTTAAAGCCTTCCAGCCCTGTGGTGGTCCCAATCTAAACTGTTCACAGCCCTGCAGTTATTTACTAAAGAAAGTGGGTGCAGCAGGATCCACTAGCACACAAGGACCAATCACGTGCTAAACATCACATCTTGATTTTAAGATTCTTTTCACATGTGAACTTGTTTTTATATCTGGAACCGTTTTTTAATTGTTATTGTTTGTGCTTTTGCTGTGAAATTGCTTTGAGATACCCTACGGGAAGAGATTCATAAATGGCAGTAAATAAATAAATGGGCTCGCATTTGCAGGTGACACTAAGCCAAACCATGGTTTAGCCAAACACGTGAACGTGTTGTTTCTTAGGAGAAGATGGCGCCTCCCTGCTCCTTTAAACTCAGCACAGCACAACCGCTAAGGCAAGGTCTGGCTTAGCATGTGGTCTGAAGCCAGGGTTGTGGTTAAACTCTTTCCTTGCTGCATTTGAAGTGAGTGCTAGCTACATGTGACTCTCACGCTGACCTCACTAACCAAAAGCTGTTTGTTTTCCACCCCCTATAGGAGAAGCTTGTGCTTCGGACTGTGGAGGCAGCTCCCAGCAACAAGGTAGAGCCTTTCCTCATCCAAGCTTATGCCCTATCTGCACAATGCATTTAAAGCAGGATCACACCACCATAAACAGAATCCTGAAACTGTAGTTTGCTCAAGGTGCTGAAAGGAGACCCCTATTCCCCTCAGAGAGCTACAGTTCCCAGAGTTTCCTGGGAAGATAGGTTTGTTGCTAAACCACTCAGAGAATTGTAGCTCTGTGAGGGGAATAGGAGCTTCCTAACAACAACAATAGTCATTGCTGATTGACTTGTCCATACATCTTTCTGGTTGCTGTTTTTGGTTGTTTTGCTATGCTTCCCCAGTGCCACCTTGTAGGGGCACTCTTGAACTGAAGCTCAACAAAACCAGTACAGAAAATAAACCAGAACATTCACAGAATTCCAGTTACAGATAGGTAGCCGTGTTGGTCTGCCATAGTCAAAACAAAAAAAATTCCTTCCAGTAGCACCTTAAAGACCAACTAAGTTAGTTCTTGGTATGAGCTTTCGTGTGCATGCACACTTCTTCAGATACACAGAAGATAATTCACAGAATTGGTACTGAAACCAGGATCCTGTTTTACTGCCCTGATCCCATCATGAATGTAAATCACCATTAATTGACAATAAAAAGTATGTAAGGAAGGGCTTTCTGCCCAAGACTCTGGGAAGCTTAATAGAAAATACTGGGCTGTAGGAACAAATAGTCAGACCTGGGACAAGGCAGCTTCCTACATTCCTAATTTGTGCACAGGCCATAATTCATAACACCTGCTTTGCATGTGGAAAGTCCCAGGTTCAGTCCCTGGCATCTCCAGGTACGCCTGGAAAAGACTCTTTTTCCAGAAAAGAGCATATGCTAGTCACTGTACGTAGATCAGCCTCCAACAACCTGGTGCCTTTCAAATGTTTTGGACTACTGCTCCCATCATCTCTGATTATACATATGCCATGTTGGCAGAGGCTGATGGGAGTTGGTCCAAACTATCTGGAGGGACACCAGGTTGGGGATGGGTGATGTAGAAAATACTGAACTTCATGGACCAATGGTCTGATTTGCTTCAAAGAATTCTGGGCACTGTAGTTGACCCCTTGCAGAGTAACAATTCCCAGCAGCCCTTAACAGAAGACAGTGCCCAGAATTATTTGAGGGAAATAATGTGCTTTGAATGTGCTGCAAGGTAGAGTGTGTACGCAGCCTAGGTGTGCATACATGCCTACCCACACAATCCATATAGTGGCAATTAGCCTTTGAGATTACAAGATAGCAGCTATTCACATCTCTTCAGTGGGAGTTAAGCACAAGTCAGTTAGAAGGCATCTGCTCATCAGGTGGCTTGTTGGCCTGACATAAATCTCCTTGTCTTTTGAGAAGGCCCAAGAGCCAAGAACTGCAAAGAGCTTCTAGACCAGGGCGAGACCCTAAGTGGGTGGTACACCATCTTCCCCACAGCTAAGAAAGCACTGGCTGTCTTCTGCGACATGGAGACTGATGGAGGAGGCTGGCTGGTGAGTCTTGCTGCCCCTGTGCAACCTGCGTGATAGCTCTAAACAAGCCCTCCAAATGTTGCTGGACTACAATTCCCATCATACATCCATCATTTTATCTGCGTGCTGCCTTTCCAATGTTCAAACCATGTTCAAGGCAGCTTACATCATGAAAGAAATTACATAATTACAAATATAATGAAAGTAGTCATCAACAATAAATAGAGCATCTTGAAGTACACAAATTGAAACAATCTCCACAAAAACCATAAGATCTAAAAACCAAAGATACAAATATATCAATAACAGCAACAAACCCCCCACAACAACCCCCCTAAACAATATCCTAGCCCAAGAGTTTGTTCTTAGCTTTTTGAAGCTGGAGTTAGTCAGGGCCCCACTCTCCCAGGCCAAGTGGAAAAGGTCTTCTAGGACTCACAACCAAGGTGGGTCCTGACTGTTGGCTACGCTGGCTGGGGCTGATGGGACTTGGAGTCCAACAACACCTGGAAGGCCACAGAAGGCCCATCCCTGCTCTAGAAAGAAGAGTATGGCCATGCTCACACTGTGCCTGAGGAATCTATGTCATTTCCGTTGGGCACTTAGAACAATTCTGGAAATAGATGCTTGTTAAATATGAATAGCAGTAAAACTGTATGGCATCTCACTATACTGAATGCAATAAGATGGGTCACTGGGGATTAAATTGGTCTTCTGTCTTCACTTTCATCACTGGTCAAAGAGATTTCATAGAAAAAGCTGGGCTTTTTGGTGGTATTGTTATTGTAGTTAAGGGTTGAGTGATTCTGGAGATTAAGCCCATTCCTGTCATGACAGAAGGTCACCAATAGCTGCCCTCCTCCATGTACATGTATTTATTTATTAGTGCTCTACAAAGGATGAAGCAACCCAACAAATCTACCTTACACTACATAGGAGACCTACAGAGATATTCATGGATGGAACTCAGATTCCAAACTGTGAGAAGCTCTAGGGTGGGAACAGGGAACCTCCAGCCCAGGGGCCGTCGCACATCCCATTCACTACCTAAGGTGAAATATGAATGTGCCACCGTGTCACCTCCCTCCCCCTTACCTGAAAAGCTGAAGAGACAAGATCTCACCTGAAAGCAGCACTACGTCTGGCAGCAGCAGCGAGGTGCCTGCAGGGGCACTGCCTCCTCGGCTTCCACCACCAAGGCAGTTACTTCACCTTGCCTCATGGGCAGGCTGCCCCTGCTCTAGCCTGAAGACCAAATGTGGCCTTCCATGCCTCTCCATTTAGCCCTCAGAACTGTCCCTGAGCCACACCTACCCACCAGCACTGTTTCATAACAATACAAAATGAACACCTGAGGCAGAGACCTTTTCATCCATCTAGAAAGAAAAAAAAGGCTTTGATTGTTTCTGAAAAGTACTGTTTCAAGAGAAAGCTTGGCCTGTCATCTTCCCAGGTGTTCCAGAGGAGACAGGATGGATCAGTAGATTTCTATCGTGGTTGGGAGTCCTACAAGAAGGGGTTTGGGAACCGAGCATCTGAGTTCTGGCTGGGCAACGACAACATCCATGTTCTCACTAGTTCGGGTAAGGCAGCTTTTGGGTGTCCAGTTGATGATTGGAGTATAGAACTCATGTGCCTTGGCATCATCATGTGCCTTAGCATCTCCTGTGAGAAGAACACATATTTACCAAAAGGCTCCCTTTTGCTACAGGTATTCCTGTCCTCTCTTGACTCCGACAACCCTATCCAGGTGCTTCCAGACTGACTATGGGGTGGAATTCAATCACATCCTAGCAAATTCAGGTTGCATAATAATAGATGATTGGGAGGGCTTGTGCAACAAACCCACTTCATGCTTCCAGTGACTTTTTGTGTTTCTGATTAGGGGCACACCAACTGAGGATCGATGCCGAGGACTTTGCCAAAGTCAGAACTTTTGCCCTGTATACAAGCTTCAAAGTTCTGAGTGAAAATGACAACTACACATTGACCCTGGGCTCTTACTCCAGTGGTGACATGGGTGAGTTACTGGGAGAACTACATTGGGTCTACTCGGCTAGTAAGATGGGCAAGTTCTTTCATCAATGGTCAAACATCTATTACGTTTATGCAAATTATTTTGACCTAGATACCATATTCCACAACTGCTTATCCTTCAGTGCTGTGTAAGACTATATCTAAGCTATTGGTTCTACCTCCGACCCATGTCTCTGTCGTTTTGTGTATATAATCAGAGTCTCTGTCACTCCCTCTTAATAATGAGCTCAGCAAAGGTGGATCAAGGGGAGCATGACCGGTTCGGTCGCACGGGGCACAGAGTGTTTGGGGCACTGCAGCAGGCACCATAACTATGAAGTCCAATGGAAGGCAAGTGGTGTAGGGGGTGGATTTTGGTGATCACCAGGTGCCTTGGAATGTTAAAAAATGGAAAACTGAGGAGAGGTTGCGTTGGCCTGTTACAATTTATTTTACAGTCTCCCAGAGGGAGGCATGGCTGGCTACCTGGGACCCCAAAATAGAAGCACTCCTGTTACAGAATGAGGATGTACTGCAACGATTTGTTGCAGATCCTACCTGTGCCTTGTATAAAAAAGAAGCCTTCCTTATGTACGCCAAGTAAATTCAAGACCTGCCTTTACATTCCACCTCCCCAGGAGATTCTCTATCTGTGCACGACAACATGCCATTTTCAACACGGGACAAAGATAATGACAACAGTGTCTCCAGCTGCGCAGAAGTCTACACGGGTGCATGGTGGTATGGGGACTGTCATCATTCTAACCTCAATGGGCTCTATCTCAAAGGCGAACACAGCTCTTATGCCAATGGCATCAACTGGGCTGCTGGGAAGGGTTATCATTACTCTTATAAATATGTGGACATGAAAATAAGACCAGAGTAGGTAGCGAAGAAAAGATCTAGTGTAGGCTGGGTGCTTTACAGCAGAGGGCCTGGGCACTACTTCAGCTTCAATCTCTCGTGCATTCTCCAGTTTTAACCTGTGAGGCAGCCTGAATAAGGAGACATCTCCACAAAGGTGACACCTGACTTGTCCTCCTTGCCCCAGTCTTGATCCAATAAGGTTATCAGTAAGGACTAGGGAGCAGGCACCTTCTGTAGCCTTAAGTCAGGGATAGGGAAGGTGTGACTCTCCAGATGTGGTTGGGATTCCAAACTCCCTCCTATCAGCCTCAGCCAGCAGTCAAGGATGGTGGTTGTAGTCTAGTGACAGCTGGAGGGCCATAGTTTCCTCATTCCAGTCCTGCCAAACAATCTTTAACTGCAAACAAGCACACATAGTCCTACTTTATATTAGCTCCTGAATCTACCCCTTCTGCAGAACTGCCCTTCCCCATGCATCCAATAGCTGATGTAGGTGGAAGATTTGGATACAAGAACTTGATTTAAAGTAGGCCACGTTATTGAGGATCTTGGTACAAGAAACTATACGGATTGTGGTCAATGCATTAATGTCTATTTCTGCTAACTCATAGCAGGCTAGCCTGAGGTAGAACTGGTATAGTTGTGTGCTCACACACATATTTTTTAAGTCTTAATAAGGTCCTATCTCCTATGTTCCTTCACCACTTAACAAATCCAAACTTAAAAGCCATGACTTCATATGGAAAATGAGACATAGTCATAGCTCTGTATTGCAACCAGCCTTTATCTAGATATCTCCTACATCCCTAGGCAGGATAGGAGCTGCCTTCAAGAGCTCTTACAGGCTCAACCCTGTCAAGGTATGGTCCACAAACAATAAATGCTGACTATCTGGCAATTCAGAATGTATATCGCTTCTCAGGTTTGACTTTTGGCTGGAGAATGCCTTAGAATTTTTGCAGCTAGCTTGACAGAAGCAGTTATGGGGACAGCTGTTGCTTTCGGGGACTGTTGTAGCTCTTAATTATTAATATTATTTGTATGAGTATGTTAGCCTTCTCAACCTGTATATGAAAAACAAATAAACAGATCTTAAACAGACATGGTAAAGTCTCTAGAACTCTTTCCAAAGATGATGATGATTCTTTAGGCTGCCCTTGGAATTTAGAGTATAAAATACTATAATCATTCCCTACCCCGTACCATACCTGACCCTATAAAGATACGTCTCCTACATTTAGGAGGAGAGGGTGTAGTGGCCTTATATAATTTTGTGAGAAAATATTGGTAACAAATCTTGTGGAAGGGAGACAGCATGATTTTGCATCACTTGTAGAGCATGGCATTTGATACAAAATTAGCCGTTGGTAGTTTGGATTTCCATTAACATCCACATACACAACATACCCCGTAGGAAACACCAGAGGTAAAATACAGAGTCAGATATAATACCCTTATCCATTCCATATCAAAAATGAAAATAAAACTGCCAATATCATAATGCCATTACACAAATCTATGGTGCAACCACATCTGAAAGACTGTGTAGTTCTGGTCACCTCGCCTGAAGAAGGGTGGTACTATTAGAGAGTTGGAAAAGATTCAGTAAAGGGCAAAAGATCAAGGAGTGGAGCAACTCTCCCATGAGGAAAGGTTGTGGCGTTTGGGACTTTTTAATTTAGAAAAAAGATGAGCAGTAGGTGACAAAACAGAAGCTCAGAAACTGATGCATGGCATGGAGAAACAGTAGAACTTGCAAGGTGTCCAATGAACCTGAATGCGGAAGGATTCGAGACATATAATAAAGAAAAGTACTTTTCTTCACGAAGTTGTTAAAACTCTGGAAAACTCGCTCGCCAGAGGAAGCAGTGATGGCCACCAACTTGGGGTGGCCTTAAAAGAGGATTGGACAAATTCGTGGCATCCGGGGGCTCCTTGCCAGGACGGCTATGCTCTGCCCCAGAGGTTAGAGGCAATGGGGCTTCTGGATGCCTGTTGCTCCTCTAGGCATCTGCGTGGCCACTGCGAGAATAGGACGCAACCCTCTGCAAAGGGGACCATAGCAATTAAAAGCCACTTTGTAATCGAAACAACATGCGAAACAAGCATAACAACCTCCACCCCATCCAAAGCACACACAGATCTCGCGAGAGAACAGAAGACGTGCGGGAGCGTAGAGGCAATTGACAGAGATGCAACTATAGAGTCACACGTTGTCTCAATACTTTCTATACTTCTGATCTAGTTTTGCCACTCAAACTTCCAGTTCGAGTTATATCAGTCCTGTTTTCCTCACAGAGATTCCACGCCGTACTTATGGGCAACACTAGCAAAAGGGAGGGTCCCCAGTTTTTACCACAGCAATAACCACAGGAGAACATATTTCATATTGCACGTTACTCTACAATTTTCTCTGGCTATCTCTATGGTTAAGGGTGACCCGAGTTGGCGCCGTGACGCCACTCCCCTTGCGCAACCCCGGACGGAGGCACACCCGGTGACGCAGCTCCGCCCTTCCCTTCCCCGGCTTCTTCCCGCAACATCTCGAGGCCGCCCCGCCCTAAACCTCTGAGTGACGTCTCCGGAGAATCAATGAGCCTCCAGGTACGAACGGAGGCCCCGCCTCCGAAGCGGTGAGTGGCGCCGCCCTCGACCAATGGCGCCGTAGGCAGGCGGGAGCGTCACGTCGGGTTGGGTTAGAGCTGCGCCTGTCAGTGCGGGCGGCGGGATGGCGGCGCTTTATGCTTGCACCAAGTGCCACCAGCGCTTCCCGTTCGAGGCGCTCAGCCAGGGACAGCAGCTCTGCAAGGTCAGGGCCAGGAACGGGCGGGGGCTGAGGGGGCGCGGGCGCCGTGGCGGTTAGGAGCGCGAGCTGTGAGCCAGAATCCCACCCGCCGACCCTTCTCTTCCTCTCCCGTCGGAGCTCAGCTTAGCCGCCTCCTTGGGTGACCTTAGCCAGAACAGCTTCGCTCGGCCTCTAACCTTCTTCTGTCTCTCTCTGCCGCCTCCTCCCTGACCCTCCAGTTCATGCCGGAATCAAAACAACACCGGCCTACCTCGCAGGGTTGTTGTTGTTGTTGTGGCCGAGGCGTGCTGTAATCGAAGGGCAGCATTACTCGGCCTCCCCCCTCTCCCCCCCCCACTGGCCACCACTCCATATTGGAATCAACTGGCCTACCTCACAGGGTTGCTGTCATCATCCCTGACAAGCACGGCTGAGCCATGACGTATTCAAAGATCTTTGAAGGCTGGGTGAAGGGAATAAGAGAAATCCTGATATAAATCAGGATGCGTTTATATTCCTTGCAACTTTCTGCACAAGAGCTGTAGGTGCCATAGGGAGCATAATCTCCTGGATATCCATGCAGTAGCTGTGTGAGGTAGGCTAGGTTTTTGAGTATGGCCCAAGACTGTTCAGCGATCTTTTGGGTGAGCAGTGGGAATTCAAAGTCACGTCTCTGCAGTCCAGTTTCATAAAGCTACTCGGACTCTGGGACTGGTTTCTTCTTCTTCTTCAGGAAGTGCTTTGATGAAGACAATATAAGGGGAAAGGAATGGAGCAAGAAGCCAAGACTTCAGTTATGTGCTCTTGCCTGAGAGAAAGCCCCACTGAATGTAGTGGACCTTATTTCTGAGTAAACATGGGTAGGATTGGCCTATGTAGGTGTTGTTGCTTAGGGAGGTGGTTTGGAAACTGGGTAGGAAGGCACCTCTTGGGTTTGTGAGTGTACCCACAAATCCCACTTAGTTATTTCCTGCATACAACCTTTGTGAAGTCAGAGTGTATTTGTTTATTCCTATTATTTGTATGCTTGTGCCTTGTGTGTTAGCTTCTAATTGGGGTTCATTAAGAAAGATGTGGCCTGTGGCAGCATTAGTTAGCATGTTTCGTAAGTTATTCTTCAGCCAAACAGCTCCCAGCAATTTCACAATAAAATCAATATAATCATAAAAGAAATACATTAAAGACCATATAACAGGACAAATGAGTCATATAATAAGATCAGGAATAAAGATGTTGGTGTCTCATCCTAGGCAATATTATTATTAGTTAATAGTTACCCAATTTGTATAACACCCTTCATTCAAAGATCTCAGGGCGATTCACAACATAAAAAGAAAGAAAACCACAATATGTTATTGTTTTTATTAAATTGTTGTTGTTTTATTAACTTGTTAAGTCATCTAAAAAGGGCATTCCTTAGGCAACTTACAATCAAGTTTAAAAACAATTGGGTTTAAATGTACTGAAAGTAATTACTGACATCTTGCTCTTGTTTGTGTTTTGCACTCTTGCTTATAGTTAAATGCTGCTTCTTATCTAATGTGGTATCTAACTACTGTTCCTTTGCTGCAGTATGACTCTCTTCAGTGACTGATTACAATCAAGAGCAACAGTGAAGGAGCCATGATTTTCTTTATGAATCCCTATTAACATACTCATTGCTAAAGAGACACTATGTTGTTTTTCTTAGAAGAATTGCAGTTTTCTGTGCCACTAGCAAAATATGCAGATGAACTATAAAGAGAGGAGTTTTGACTCTGGAGATGATAACATTGTAAGATGACCCTGCCTGTTGCACTGGCCATCTTCTCTAGTTGGATGCTGTGTAAAGCAGTAGCCCTGTCTAATTGCTTCCTGGGCCAGAATACAAAAATCTGTTGTTTGATAGTTTGCCACTTTGAGTCACCACTCTAGTACCTGCCTTCATCTTTATCACGATGGGATTTCTCTCTTCACCATTCCTTGTCAGTATCTCACTCCTTAAGTTTACAGGATGATACATTAGTGACAACCCGAACGCCTTTTGTATGTTTTTGCCTTTCAATTCAATTCTCTAGATGTTTATAACTTTCAAAAATCTTTCTCTTTCAGGAATGTCGGATTGCACACCCCATTGTTAAATGTACTTATTGCAGAACTGAATTTCAGCAAGAGAGGTAAATACTTGTTCAGCCTTTTTACACTGGGTTGTCTGGGTGGGTGGGGGAAATGGAACTGCCTTCTTTGAGATATCTTAAATTGTGGCTTTTCATTGTTTGATTCCAAAACAAAGGTGCCTTCAGCATTTGTTGAATCTCCAAAACACTTGAGCTATTGTTTTAAGCATAAGTGGTGCTTTGCCAGGTTGAATCAGTCAGGAGGTCTGACTTTCTATCCAATAGTGAAAAATACTCAGCATTATTTTGCTAACTAATTCACACATCAGTTCAGAAGTGAACTCTATCACAGTCTGTTTCCAAGGATTGGAAGGCTTGGGATTGCAAGCTTGGACCATAGAAACATAGGAAGATGCCTTGTGCTGAGTCAGACCATTGGTCCACATAGCCCAGTATTGTCTGCTCTGACTGGCAGCAGCTGCCCAGGATTTTAGACATGGTTCTCTCCCATTTCCTTTTTGGAGATGCCAGGGATTTAATTTAGGACCTTTTTAATGCAAAGTAGAATTGCTATGTAGAATACAATTTGAAATAGCTTTGCACAACTCCAATTGAGTTGAACACTCATGAGCAACCCCTACTATTTTAAACAGGAGACAGCAAATCATTCTGTCTTTCTGCATTTTTATATATTATGCATTTTTTTATTTCTTAAATTAAAATATTCTAGAATTGGATCCAGAACTTAATAGTTACAAATTGACCGTATCATGTAAGCATAAATGGTATATAATTCAAAAAGCAACAAAGTTACTTCTTTTATAATCTATAAATGCAGATCATGTTATATCATGTTTTCCTATCTTAATTTAATATTTTTGTTGTTTTGCTAGCAAAACCAACACAATATGCAAGAAGTGTGCACAGAACGTGAAACTTTATGGGACGGTATGTTTCAGTCTTCTTTCCTTACGCACTGGAAGTTTATCTTAATTCCTATAGTATAGTGAAAGGGTGGGAAATCTATTCCTGCCAGTGGGCCAGTTCCTTATCTTCCCACCCTGAGGACCAAATTTGACAGGCAGGTGGAGCCTATGTATCAATCACCTGACATCATAGTCACATTTGGTAGCATTGCGCTTTGCAGCCCTGAATGTCAGCTAAACTGAGCAAGATCTAACTCCTGCTTGTCAGCTGATGAGGGGATTGCATCCTGCTGCTATGGCCAGGGGAACTGGTGTGGCAGCCAATGCAAAATCAAACTCTATCCATCAGGGGACATCATCCTGCACTGCAATGACGTCAA